GGCCATGACCAGCGAAACATGTCGCCTATGTTGCTTAGTCCTTCTCAGGAGCAGGCCGTCACGGAACTTTGTTCTGAGGTCGGTGAGCTTTGTTCCGAGAATGGTTGGGGTTCTTCAGCCATGTCTGCGCTCGGCATGTTTGAGTACCATGTCAGGCTGGCCACAGACAGCAAATGCCAACGTGGGCTGACTCAGAGACGAATGCGTAGCGAGTCTATCAATCATGTGTTTGACTGCACTTGCTTCGATGCTCAGCATGGAAGGCTCGGACCGCGAAATCCTCAGTCGTCCTGCCCCAGCCGGTCCTACAGGCTGGGCGTGTCGCGTGAGTTAAGAACGAAGGCCCATGTCACTGCGAGCACTTCTCGGGCTTGAGCCTGATGGGTCGCCTCGGTTCATCTGCGGCTGAGATACGCTCGTATGCTGGGCAACGGAACATTGTGAGGTTTGGGTCGTCCTGGATGGGTCCCGTGCTTTGGAGTGCCCAAAGGTTCAGAGTCAGGCGGAAAGGAGACCGAGTCACCAGCCAGTCGAGACGTGATTCGGTTGCCGTAGCGTGCGTGCTGTCGGGTTCAGCAAGCACCAGCCGATCGGGAGACCCTGGCAAAACGACAGCAGTTTCGACGCATACTGTAGTACGTCAAAGCAACGCCGACAATGCACATTAAGATTTGCTCTGGTAGGAATTAGGAGGCAGCTGCAGTCGCTTGCATTAGTGCATGCTGTCGCCTGGTTTCGAACTTATATATCACGGCTGCATGAAGTCTCTCTCTGGTGCTCTTGCGCAACATCAGTCCGCTCCGTTGTGAAGCCGATTTCTTGGCTGTTGAGCTTGTTCGATGTCTCTGTGCTTGCGTGCGGACATCAACGCGCAACGGGCAGCAGCTGCAGCCCGCGCTGAGTGGCTGAAGGTTCTTTCCCATTCGTTGAGCAATGTGCAGTCTTCGCAATGCCTTCTTGCAGGACCAGCAGAGACTCTATCTGAGGGGAAGCATGGAAGTACGGGGATGTGGGGCGGGCTTCGCTTCAAAACGGGTTGGTGCACATGCCCTGGTTTTGGCAGGATCAAAAATTTGCGGTATTCCTTGCTTGGGCAGAATACGCCAAGTTTCAGAAGAAGATGGACACCGCCATCCCCAAACCGCGGCCGCGAGTGGCAATGACGCGCATTGCCTGGGCCTTGGCAAAACATGTCTGAAATTTGTGGCACGCCATTGCATGTGCTTAGCCTCTGGTGAAGCGGACCCAGAGTGCACATGATGTTGTGAGTCTGGGAAAAGCTTCGAGCAACAAGGTATGATGGCACAGCTGACGCGCAGTTGCTCGAGCACACCATCCAGCCTGATCAGTCTGAGCAGCCGGCCGCTGTGTCAGTAGAATCCGAATAGAATCTTATTAGAGTCCCGAAGAAAAACGCACCCCGTGTTATTTTTTGTTCGGCCCGCCGCGTACGGAGCAAAAACAAACACGCACCGTGTTCGTTTTTGTCGCTTAGCCCGCCGATTAATCCGCGTAGAACCCTTAGATTTAATAGAATTTATCTTATTAGAATCCTATTAGAGCCCACTAAAAAAAGGCACCCCCGGTGTTTTTCTTTTTGCTCGGCCTGCCTTGTACGGAGCAGAAAATGGTAGAATCCTCAGATTTCGATCAGTAGAATCCTAATAGAATATTATTAGAGTCCCGAAGACAAACGCACGCCCGTGTTGTTTTTTTGTTCGGCCCGCCGCGTACGGAGCAAAAAAAACACGCACCGTGTTCGTTTTTTGTCGCTTAGCCCGCCGCGTAATCCGTGCAGAATCCTTAGATTTAATAGAATCTTAATCGAATCTTTTTAGAATACTATTGGAGCCCACCGCGTACCGAGCAAAAAAGCAAAAAGGCACCCGCCGTTTTTGGTTGTCCGGAGCACAAAACGCGCCTTACAAGCCCACTAAAATCCTACGCGAAACATTATAATCCTATCAGAATCCTGCTAGAAGCCTAGTCGCAGCCTATTCGACTCCGTAGAATTCGTGTAAAATCCTCAGATTTCCATCGGTATAGGATCTTGATAAAGTCCCAAAGAATGCACCCCTGTGTTGGTTTTTTGTTCGGCCCGCCACGTACGGAGCAAAAAGGGAAACACGCCCCGTTTTTGTTTTTGTTGCGTAGCCCGCCGCTAATCCGTGTCAAAAAGAACGCGCACCGAACAACAAAGCTCGCCCCCCTTTTTTTTGCTCGGCCCGCCGCATACGGAGCAAACAAAAAAGCGTGCCCCGTTTTTTTGTTGGTGGTCCCGCCGCGTACGAAACAAAATACCGTAAGTTACAAAAAGGCGTAAACCCTCCTCCAACCCAAGACGCCTAAACTTTCTAAACCCAAGAGCCTAGGCCCACAAACTTGAGAGATGGCCGAGTTAGGACTCTGAGATAACTTGGCAATCCCGAGTTTCGCTGGGCCATTACAGCTGGTGATTTCTTGTTTCATGATTCCTCCTTGTAAATGCCTTCATAAATGAATAAGCCTGTGCACCACGTCGTCGGATCCTCCGAGTGAAGTTTAGGTGTTTGGGCTCGACTGTTTCGGGGGACTAGGGTTCAGGTAGTTTAAGGTTTAGGGCTCATTGTTTAGGGGTCGGCGTTGAGGATGTGGGGGTTTTCGACATATAGGTTTGTATCACGGATTCAGGCCTTGTGCCCTCAGGCCCGCTCATGGAGCCCCGCGCGACACCGCACAAGTAATGTAGGACCTGGATAGTAGAATTCAAAGTATCTGTAAGTCTACGAGCTGCCCTGAGACCCTGAGAGGTATATATGCAATTTTTCCGACATCTCGACCCGGGCTTCTGCCCGTGAGAGTGACGATTCTTGTAAATTTTGGTGATAGCGATTCCTTTAAAAGTATGCTACGCTGCTGACCTGCGGATGCAAACGCAGCTTGGTGTTCTCACTCCTGAGTATTTGTGGGTCGTTGTGCGTTGCGAGGATCCCGGCGCAATAGGGAGCTGGATAAAGCAGGAGGCTCGAGACAAAAACAATCGTGCAGAGCTGCATCAGGGTTCTGATATTCAAGCTTCAGCGACTACCAAAACTCCTTTTTAGGGTTCCCCATAAAAAAAAGCTGCTAGAAATATACTGCACCGTGCCCCAAAACCCTATTCTAATTACTGAGGCCCCTGTATTTGGGTTCTAGAAAAGCTGGTCAACCTCTGAGAGTGGCAGTACGAAAATCAACAGCAAGCGCAGCAACATATTGAGGAGTGAAGCAGTCAGTGCTGGCCGTCAGGCTTACCAGCAACAACCTTTTGGGAATGGCTAGATGCCACAATAACCGGACCGTTGATGATAATGGGCATCGCAATGCTATTGGCATGGTGGTGATACTGTAGTATCTTTAGGAGTAGCAGCAGTATTGCTGCTCCTCCTCCTCCTCCACCTCCTCCTGCAACAACAACAACAATTGCTGCTGCAACTACTACTACTAGTAGGAGGAGGAAGAGGAGGGTACCTTGCCTCTGCGGCCAACACGACTGGTATCAAGGGTCCTGCTGGTTTAGAGTTCAGGGTATAGGGTTTGGGGTGTTGAGACCACAGCGCATGTTGCTACACAGAGGCTTGATCGGTTCGAAATCTTTGCACTTGCAAACACAATCATAACTGTGATAATGCAGGGCACAGTGTTCCTGAGGTGTCCTTATTATGGTTGGTCATATTAACCACGAAAGCCATATTCGAGTCATTCCGGCCACTTTACCTGCCATACTCGAGAACTGACCCTGCGCTTTTGCCGTTGATTGTTGGGCGGTGAGGGTAGTTTGCAGGGTTGGTTGTCTTTGGGTCGAAAAGGTTGCTTGGGTTCAGGTTTCACGACTCAATTCAGGGTCGAAGGGGGCTGCTAGACCTTGTTGCTGTACTATCGCATAGAAGGTCTTAATCACAAACCCTAAACCCTCAGACTCCAAAGTGCCCTAAGCCCTCAAACCCAAAGCCGTCCTGCCTTGCGCCAGGTTGATGGGCAGCGGTGAGGCTGACGGGTTTTAGGTGTTCGTGCTTGCGGGGTCTTAGGGTTTATGCAGAGCCCAACGTAGTTGATACTCTGCCTCCCTTATCGTCCTCAATATCTCAAAGTTCAATATGAATTTGGACTAACGTCCCCTTCGTCCAAATCCGTATTCCGATTTCTGAGGCCCATCTAGGGGTCTAGAAGGGTTCAATAAAGGTTCTAACAGGGATTCTATAAGAGTTCAATGGGGGCGCAACCCTCAATCCGAGCCCCACTTATCGTTTCCGGGGTTTGGGTTAAACCCTAAACCCTAAACCTTAAAACCCTAAACCCTAAAACCCTAAACCCTAGAACCCTAAGCCCTAGAACCCTAAGCCCTACCACCCTAAAGGCCTCGGGGTTCGGGCTATGGCTTGCAGGTGTTTCGGCGTTTTCAAAGCCCTCGCGTCGGATGAGATTGAAGGCTCGAAGGCTCAGGGCTCAGGCTCTAAACTGACATAGGGTTTAGGGGTTAGGGTTTAGGGTTTAGGGTTTGGGGTTTCTAACTTCATAGGGAGTTTACGGGGGGTTTATATAGGTTCTAGGGTTTTGGGGTTTCGCCTTCGGGGTATAACATCGGGGCCTAAATCATTACCTGTACTATCTTGGGGGTTCCTTATTATCAATTAGAGTATAGTATGCCAGCAAAACCTTATTCTAATCATTAAGGCACCTATTTTAGTCAGCAGGCTTAGGTTTAATGGTTCTAGAGTTTCGGGCTTAAGGTTTAGGGTTCTGTAGTGCAAGAATAAACCGAAGCCTCAAACTCCGGACCCTAAGCCTGAAGCGCTGCACCCTAAGCATCATATTCTAGACCCCGAAGTCGTAAACTCTAGACCCTAAGTCTTAATGGGTTTAAGGTTTAGGGTTTAAGGTTTAGGGTATGGGGTTTAGGGTTTAGGGTTTAGGGTTTAGGGTTTAGGGAACTCGAGACCCAAAGCCACTGAACCACTCAGTATTGTTGCTCCGGCTCACAGGCGGCTCTCCTGGCAAAGATGCGGCGACGTTCGGGGGCCCAGGGAATAGGGTGTCATATTTTATAGGGGCCTTAACAATTAGAATAGGGTTTTAGGCTCCTTGATGGTATAATTAGAAAAGGAACCCTAAGAATAATGTTGGTAACTATTTAGGCTTCTACATTAGGTCAGTTAAGTAGTTGTTCGGGTTCAGGGCTTGGGTTTCATGTCGGAACCTGATCAAGAAACCCTGGTCCTGCAACCCCCAAGACATTAGGATCCGCATAAGGAGCCCGAATACCGACCCCACGTTTCTTAGCATAAGTCGTGCATTACCCGTAGTAAGGAATATACCATAGTTCCCCATAGTTTTAGGGTCCTTAAGGTAATTTATATCATCAACAGTAGGGTTCATGGTCTGACTCTTTGAGGCTCTGAGGTGCATTTTTTTTTTTTGGTTAAAAGGGTGGTGCTACACTGACTTTTTCGAAGAGGCGGGTGGAGGTGGCTTTTGCGGCGTTTTCGAGAGTTCAGGGATTTGGAGCGTAAATTGTTGTTTAGAAGTTTGGAGAGACCCTGCCTAAGCCTGGAAGAAGCCGTCAACCCTAAACGCTAAATCATTAAGGCTGTTGGGCCAAAGAGCATACCACGCTCGGCTAATGCGTTGTCTTGAAGCTTGGGTCTCTGTGATCTTTCAGGACTTAGGCTGTTAATAGTTCTGTTCCTGGGCGTTTAAGCGAAGAAACTTAGGCCGTAAACCCAGAAGCCTAAATCCTCTGACCCATTCCAGTCTGGGGTCTCCTCTCTGACTAGCAGGAAGAAGGGTAGCAGGGCAGCATCTTCTTAGGTTGATGATGGCGAGCCGCGGTGATTTGAATATTGAGGGCCCTAAACTCCAAACCCCAGATCCTAAACCCTAAACCCTGTCTCCAAACCCAAATCCTAAACCCTAAACCCTAAACTCAACCCAAAATGCTAAACCCTAAACCCTAAACCCTAAACTCAACCCCAAGCCGACACAGGGAAACATGCGACAGACTTGACCCTCCACAGCCAAGAAGGGCTTTGAGTTTGGGGTTCAGGGTTTAGGAGTTTAGGGCTTAGCGTATAGGGTTTGGGGGTTTCGGGCTTTAGGGTTTAGGGGTTTAGGGGTTTAGGCTTAGGCTTAAGGGTTCAGGGTTTAAAGGGTTTGGGGTCTGGGGCTTAGAGCTTAGGGTCTTGACTGCTCCCAGACTTGAAGTCCGACACAGGATGATACCGGCAGCAGCAGCAACATCACTGCTACAAACTAGACCTCCAAAAAATAGGTGCCTCAGGGCTTTAACTTAGAGGCCTGGACATCTTGTAACGCTATTTCGTTAGGCATCCTTATAGGGATTATAACAGAGCGTACCGCCAAAACTCTTTTCCAAATACTAAGGCGCCTATATCATGGCACCTGTACTTGAGGGCCCTACACCCTAAACCCTAAACCACTAAACCCCTGAACCCTAAACCCCCCTAAACCCTAAACCCTAAACCCTAAACCCTAAACCCTAAACCCTAAACCCTAAACCCCTGAACCCTAAACCCCCGTAAACCCTAAACCCCGAGGGCTTGCCTTTTGCCAGGCCAGCTGCTCAGCCCGCTGGTTCCGGCGGAGGAGCAGAACAGAAGCAATGGAGGGGCCTTAAGTGGGGGCTTCATTTCTTAAGGTTTAGAGTTTAGGGCCTAGAGTTTTGGGGGAACGTTGCGGCTTTGGTAGAGTTTCAGAGAGGTTTGCTTGGGTGATGTGCATGTGTTCGTAGGGGCTTACAGGCTTTACTCGCTTGGGGGCTCCTAGGGTTGTAGGGTTCGGGGGGCCTAGGTTTAGGACTTTCCTGGGTTTTACGGTTTATGGCCCAACAGGCTCAAGACTCTCACGTCAGTGACCTAAACCCTAAACCCTGACTCCCAAAGCATTCAGTGTCCTGACGTCCTTAGCTCCGGCGGTAGATCCCACACCCTCCACCCTCAACCCTTTTCCCTGGTGGTCCCAGTGGTGTAGACCATGACAAGCCCCAATGCCTGGCCCTCGATACTACCAAGCCCTCCTACTCCCCAAGCTTCAGCCGGCTGAGCGGAAGGCAGTCCTGAGGAGTTTTCCACGGGCGTCTCATGCAGCCGGGCGCTGAGTCAAACTGCGCAGTACCAGGAGAGCCGCATCTCCAAGATGTGGTAATTTACGCATTTAGGGGGCAGGGTTTAGGGTGCAGGGCTTAGGAATTAGCGTTTAGGGATGATGGTTCAGATGTTGAGATTTTGCTTTTGGTCCAGGGCCTAGGGCAACCTGTGCAGAAACTTTTGTTTGGAGACCATGAGCCAGTTAGGGCACGTACCTTTGCTAAAGCTTACATTTACATGCAGGAGCCACGGTATGCAAGGCTTTTGGGCTCGTTGCTCCGAACCCCAACTTTCCAGGCTCCCCGGTCGAAACCTTAACCCTAAACCCTAAACCCTAAACCCTAAACCCTAAACCCTAAACACGGCTACCAGGCCCTGGCTGTTCAAGCCGAGCACACGCTCACGGCGGCGGTCCGCGGTGCCGCCCGGATCTGGCCCTTCCCTCGGCTCTTTGGGCTTTTAGAAGGCCCTACTTGGGTGGTTGTCAAAATTATTGTCCCTTTTTGGGTCTTTTTTTTTTAATACGGCACCTATTATTTAGGGTATCCCAAATGGGACCATAATTTTGACAACTACCCACTTGGAGGTTCATGGGTAGTTATAAATTGAGTTATAAGTCCCCTAATGTAGCTTATAACTATAGTTACCCTACTTATAACCCTACTTATAACTACCCATGAACCTCCAAGTAAAAGGGGCTCTTGCAAGGTTCGTTGAAGGGCCCTTATGAGGTCGCTATAGGCTATAGGGGCTGAGGGCAAAGCCTGATACGACGTGAGCATTTTCTCAAGGTTGTTTGTGTAGGGCCGCAGAACGGTTTTGGCTAGGAGCCTTTGAAATCTGCGTCGGGTTCCATTTCAGGTCTCCAAAAAGAATCCAAAAACATTTTGGGACAAGGTTTCAAGGCTTTCAGGTTGGACACAGGGGCCTGACTCATTTCGGTGGGGTTCGGGGTCGGGGTAGACGACGTCTCAACAGCTCGGAAGGGACTGTATGCTCAGGCCTAGCTCGTAGGATCCTGCTTATGAAGAACGGACTTGGAGATGAAACTTAGAGGCTTAGAGGTCTCGGGCTTTATGTAGGGTGTCGTCTGTTTGGGTTCTGAGTTTTAGGCCTTTCTTTTGGGAGGAGCTGGTTTTTGGCTTCGGTGTTGCGGCATGAGCGCGTAGTGACGTAGTGGTTTGTCTTTTGGTGGTGCGGGTATTGGGTTTCAAAAGCTGCTTGTTGAATCGACGGTGTTTTGGCTTATTTTTTTTGTATGCCAGTCCAAGCATTTCAGGGTTTTGGCGATGAGGGTTTGGATTTGAGGTTTAGGTGAGTGTAGTTAAGGCTGTTCGGCTTGAGCTTGCAGTGATGATGCTGTTGGGGGTCTGAAACCACATTCCCTCATTCCCTTACAGTCCCTGTGGCATACCCCAACACCCTAAACCCTAAACCCTAAACCCTAAACCCTAAACCCTAAACCCTAAACCAACACCAACACCCTATTCTACTTGTAGCTATCTTTCCGTGTCTTCAGGGCTTCGAGAGCCCCACGGGTTGAGGCCTTGAGCAGAGGCTTCAGATGCAATCCACTTCGGGACAGTTCGTTCTTTTTGGGGTGAAGGGTTTATAAAAAACAATCGGTTCATGGTTTAAGGTTGTGGGGGCTGTGAGACTGAAGCTCCGAGCCCAGGGTGGTGCGCGATGGTGTTGTGGTGGCCCGGACGCTTGCGTTTGAGGCGGACTCCGAACCCAGACCCTAAGGTCTGTGATTTGGTGGGGTATGAATCAGAGGTGGAACGAAGGGGCTTTCTTCAACGATACTATTGCGTAGAGTTCCTTGTGCTCCCCCCAAAGCCTATTCCAACTATGAAGGAAACGACATGACATGTTTCCTGAACGAAGAGGTGCAACCCTAAACTCGAAACCCCCAAGCCCTAAACCTAATGAGAGGTCCTCATTGTTCCTCAAGGAAGGGGCGCTGGGCTCTCTTTTTCTGGATCTGCGACTCCAGGACCCGGACACCATTCGCAGCTTCAACCTGCGTGTGAGGCCTCGGGACGTGTTTGAATAAGAAGCAAAGGTCGTTTGTGCTTTTCGTCTTTGTTTTTATGCTTGTCTTTTGTCGGTTTGGTTGTCATCATGCATTTGCGACACTTTTGTCTTTCGGGTTAGCCGAGTCCTTAACGCTGAGTTAAGCCATCATCCTTCTCGTCAGCCCGAACCTTAAACCCCATAAGCTCCCAAGTGAAACCCTTGAGAAGTAATAGGGTTCTGGGCTGTATTCTATTATTGCGGTAAGTTTAACTTTAAATAGGGAACCCGATGAAATACCCTAAACCCTAAGCCCTAAACTGCCCTAAACCCTATATGAAATACTACTACAAGAGAGACGGAGGCCTGGCGACACTCTGGGGCTCGATGCTGCGGGAGCCAGGCAGGGTCAGAGTTGGGCCTTCAGACCCAACAAAGCTGTTCGGGGCTTAGGGTTCAGGGCTTAGGGTTTAGGGTGTAGGGTTTAGGGTTCGGGGCTTAGGGTTTCGCAGAAGCCACCCCGCAACCCCTCCCTAGCGCTAGGACGCGAACGAGCGTCAAAAAGGGACGTTTCCTGTTGCAAGGATTCGAGACAAAGGAGCCACCGACTGAAAGGGCTGTAGCAAAAGTCCCTTGGTTTGTTTTGGCCAGCGAGCACCATTTCTGCCATTTGCAGTGCGGACTCGAAGGGGTTGTTTAAAGGTCTTATAGGATGTTTTCAGGCATTATATGATATGGATTCGAGAAGGCTTCGAAACGGTATCATAATAACTGTCTTAGAAGGTTCTTTCAGGTGTATTGTTAGTTGCGGTGACGGAGAACAAGGGTTACCTTGCTTTGAAGGTGCTGGAAATTGTTTTTTGTCAGTGTCGTCCCCGACCTTGGTGACACTCTTCAGCTTGAGGAGGGTGTCTTGTTCTGATTCTCGGAACAGTTTTCCAAGTCTGTAACTTATATTGTAGAGCCCTGATTCATAAACCCCTCTCCCAGAATACAGACTATAGTTGGGAAATTACATGAAGGCCCTTCAGGAAAGGGTGTGTGTTCATTATAGGGGTCTACATTACGCCATGCCTTGGGAGCGTTGACGGATTTTAGCGGTTGAACGGGAGGTTTCAGGGTTTAAATATAGGGGCCTAAATAATTATCAATATTCTTTGAGGGTACCTTATTCTGGTTATAGTAGTATACTATACCCGAAACCCTATTCTAACTATTAAGGCACCTATATTATGCGGTTTCGTGCAGAGGCGCAGCTGTGGCAAAATGCCAGCGAACCCTGGCTTTTGGGTTCGGCGAACTTGTAGGGTTCCATGCACCACCCCCTAGCACCCAAACCAGAACATCCTATGCAAAAGAACCGTAGGAAAGACCCACGTGAAGACCCAAAACCATAACAAGCAATGCCTCAATCCCCAACTCACCAAAAGACCTATAGGAATACCCCTAGGATGGAACCACCAAAAGATCCATAGGAAGACCCGCATAGAAGAATAGCATACTCAAACCCATAGACCAACCCCCCTTAGAAACACCAACGACACCCATTATCGCCAGCTTGTATCAGATATCAAAGCACTAGTGCTAAAGCCCTTCCCACCCTTATTGCAGAACCCCCTTTCGTGAACCCTATATTCAATCCTTGTTCTAACCACCAAGGCCGTTGTATTCACCAAAAACAGACCCTAAACCCTAAACCCTAAACCCTAAACCCTAAACCCTAAACCCTAAACCCAAACTCTAAAATCCTAAACCCTAAACCCTAAACCCTAAACCCTAAACCCAAACTCTAAAATCCTAAACCTTGAATAAACACCAAACCAGACATTTCAGCCTCAGCAGGTCTGAAGACTCCCACCTCGTTGAGGCTTTGGAGGTCTGAGTTTTTGGGTTTAGGGTTTAGGAGTTACTTCAGTCACCATCATCATCATCATCATCATCATCATCAGGTCTAGAGTTTAGAGTCATCATCAGCATTGTCAGAATGCTACACCTGCTACCACTACTCCTACTCCTACTCCTACTCCTACTCCTAGTCCTAGTCCTAGTCCTAGTCCTAGTCCTACTCCTACTCCTACTCCTACTCCTACTCCTACTCCTACTCCTGCAACAGCAACTAGTACTACTACTACTACTACTACTACCACTACTACTACTACTACTACTACTCCTAGTAGTAGTAGTAGTAGTAGTAGTAGTAGTAGTACTACTACTACTACTCCTACTACTACTACTCCTACTACTACTACTCCTACTACTCTACTCCTACTCCTACTCCTACTCCTACTCCTACTCCTACTCCTACTCCTACTCCTACTCCTACTCCTACTCCTACTCCTACTCCTACTAACTACTA